TATATATGTATGTATGTATGTATGAAGAACATCCTATATATATTCGGTCGACCGGTCAATTTATTTATATATATATATATATATATATTTTTTTTTTCTTTAAAATAAGAATGACCCAACATAATCTAACCTAATATCCATCTACACAAATTAAAATAATACTAAAAGTAAATTCAGAGTATATGATATTCTGACCAAAAATAAAAATAAAAAAATAAAAGCTATAATTAGAGAGCACTTAAAATAAAAATGCTATCAATTTGAATGAATATATTGAACCTAAAAATAAAAGATAGAAATATCGTGTTTTTAAGGATTCACTTTTAGTACTATTTTAATTTATACATATAGCTATTGGGATTTAGGGGGGGGGGGGGGGGGGGTAGGGGTCAGGTCAGGTCGGGTTATTCCTATTTTATTTGGATTAGTATTTATTACATTAAAAATAAAAATAAAAAACCATGAAATAAAAAAGTATAACTGAAAGATTGTATTTTTCGGTCTTCATGATTTTGTGTGATTTAGTAAAAGTTTTGTGAGTTTTGTGTAAAAAAATATAGTTATATGACTCTCGTGAAGAAAAAAAGTCATAATTATATGAGCACTTGTGAAATTTACCTTTTATATATGATAATTACTTATGGTTATATATTTTTTAGGTAACGCGAAGTTAAGCTCAATTAATGAAGAACACCCTAATTTCAGAACGTAATTCGTAAGGACTATTTTCTGGTCAATGTCCTGGACAAAAACTCTACATCCTCTTTTTTTTTTGGGAGGGTGACATGATAAAAGTTAGTGAAAAATGACGACTAACTTTGAATTTCATAGAGCTATGCAACATGCAGAAAGATATATATAATCCAGTTAATCAACAAAAAAGAATTTCTCAGCATTAATTGTGTGGAGATCGATTTACGGTCTACCAAAATTTAAGATGTCTAAACAATGAGGGGATTTTGAATCAATACGCGGTTTTAGGGTCACAATTGTATCTATACCCACTTTGCAAAAGAAAAATTGCAACCTTACCCACTTTACGATCAACTTCAGACTTATCGGATTTGAAGTTAAGAAAAATTAGTATGAAGGAAAAAATTGTACTTCGGATATACTTAAGGCCAAATAGGTCTGAGTGCAACCAATGGTTTCATGCACTTAACGCCAATAAATCCAAAGTGAAAAAATTGCATTTCAGATGCACTTAAGGCCAAATAGATCTGAAGTGCAACCAATGGTTTCATGCACTTAAGGCCAATAAATTTGAAGTGAAAAATTGCACTTCAGATGCACTTAAGGCCAAAAGGTCTGAAGTGCAACAAACGTTTTCTTATACCTAAGGCCAATAAATCTGAAGTGAAAAATTGCATTTCAGATGTACTTAAGGCCAAAAGGTATGAAGTGCAACAAACGTTTTCCTACAATTAAAAGACCAATAAGTTTGAAGTGAAAAATTGCACTTCAGATGCAGATGCACTTAAGGGCTTAAGGTCAAAAGGTCTCAAGTGCAACCAATATTTTCATGCATGTAAGACCAAATAGCCCATAAACAGAAATTTGTTCTTCGAATTTTAACAATTCAATGTACGATTTAATACCTAAATTTACTCCAAATGAGCTCAAATTTGAAACATATATCCAAATATCATCAAGAACAAACCACAATCATCAATTTGTCAAAAAAACAATAAATCTAACGAACCCATTTCGCAATTAAGAAAAAGAAAAAGAATAAACCCTAAGCAATAGTAAAATATAAAGCGTCACAACAGCTCATCACTGTAAAACATCATAAACTACCTTAAAATATGTTCACAAACACCATATAAACTCACTATTACCCGAAGAAGAAGAAGAAGAGGAGGAGGAGGAGGAGGAGGAAGAAGAAGAAGAAGAAGAAGAAGAAGAAGAAGAAGAGAAAGAAGAGGAAGAAAGAGGAGAAAATTGCCTGAAATTATTTAAAAATGGGGTACAAGTTAAAAAATTTAACTTGTTCACAAACACCATATAAACTCACTATTACAAGAAGAAGAAGAAGAAGAAGAAGAAGAAGAAGAAGAAGAAGAAGAAGAAGAAAGAGGAGAAAATTGTCTGAAGTTATTTAAAAAGTATAAAAAGTGGGTATAAATTAAATGGAAGCGACCAAATATGAGTGTAATTTTTACAATAAAAGATGGTGTGAAGTTTAAAGGAACCTCGATATATTTGGCCCAAACATTCTGATGACATTAGTTCTAAAGTAGTAGCTAGGTATACTCGCATTCAAGAATTAATGTAAATTTTCAATTTGTTTCTCAGGAGCGGATCTAGAGAAGGAATTACAGGTTTATGGAAATCCAATATATAACTTTGGCTTAGGTCATGTATGAGTTTTTGGCCAATATTGTCCATCTTTGAGGGTAGGTCTATTTTGGTCCCTCAAATATAATCTTGAGCATATTTAGTCTCTTAAGTATGCTAAAGTAGAGCACCTTTAGTCTCGTTAACACAATGTGTTCAAAAACTAACGGTGTTACCCAACTCTAATTCATGAAGCAAACGTTTTGCTCTGAAGCAAAACTTTTCCTCTCCTTTTATTGGATAACGTAAATTATCTCTTTAATTTCTCATTTTTAGATAATGCCTTCTAAAATTTTGACCTTGAAAATATCCACTTCTGTGCCAGTTTTCAATGAGAAAATGACACTGTATAGCCGCTGTTAAGATAATAGCCGAAAAATATATAAAATTTGATTTTTTTTTTGTATATATACACATTTTGTATGTTAATATACAAAATTATACAAATTTTA